ACGTGGGGGATGGTACCGCGGTTCTGGAGTGGTACTTGGCCGGGGTACCCATTAGCAAAATCTCGGGCCTGGAACTTGCTTGGTTGCCGAGTTGAAATACCCGGACAGGCGAACACACACACACACAAACATACTTGCTTGGTTGCCGAGTTGAAACACCCGGACAGACGAACACACACACACACACACGAACATACACACAACTTGCTTGGTTGCCGAGTTGAAATACCCGGACAGACGAACACACACACACACACACATACACGAGACATACATACATACATACACACACACAGACAGGGTCGTCCCAATATGCGTTTTTGCAATTTGCATACAGGCAAAAACGCATAAAAAGCAGTAGCAAAAGAAGAACCCGTCGTCAGTATGAGACATCCCAAGCTGATGTGTCGGTAACGCTGAGAGCGAATAAAACAAGGCTGTATAGATAACTTTAAGAACTCTCAGCTTTACCTAAGCAGCAGCTTCATAAATAAAGAAGTTCGCTACTTTTGTAAGAAAATTTTCACTTGTATACGCTCAGTTTTTGCTTCTGCCTTCTTTAGCTTTTATTCTTCGGTTTCGATTCTATAATTTGGTTTTTTTTTTGCCGTTTTTTTTCATAAATTCAGGTTTTCTTTAATTCAGTTTCCCTTGTATTGCTGTGCTGTCCCTTCCTCTTTACTGCTCTCTCCAATTCCTGCCTTGAGCTCCTGACTAGTATCCTCGTTCACCGCCTCCGTCCTGCCCCAAACTCTGCCTCCAGATCGACATCCGGGCACCCACTGCTCACAGCCCCCGACTACTGTCACCATTTATCATCTTGAACTCCCGATTAGCACCTTGTCCCTCTCCTCTATCCTATCCCCAACCCGCTCCCCTGATGCGGTACCTGGGCACTTGCGAATCAGCACCTCTCCCCCCCTCCTCCTTCCCCTCCCTCCCAAGCACGTTCAACCCCCGCACACCACCACCCCCTCAACCACTCAATCCAGCCAGCTGGGTAGCACTACTCTGCACTCGTTGGCGTGCGCCAAACGGTGCCGGCAAGAGACGCTGCAAAATAGCGTTGGCGGAGAAGCTGTAGCGTTTTTCAGAATATTGGCCGAGCCGAAGTTTAATAGTTGCTGGGGGTTTTGGGTGTTTGTGGGGCGTGTTCGCTTTCAAAGGACTGGACATCTGGACTTGCTGGATGGATGGCGGTCTTTTCACGCGGTCCACAATAAAAAGATGTGGGGGGTGCTTTGCGTGGGGGAGGAGAAATGCAGATTGATGGAGTGAAATGGTATAAGG